ATCTCAGACTGGTTTCTTGAACATGACAATGAGTTCACTGTACTCAAATGGCCTCCACAGTCACCAGATCTCAATGGGATGTGGTGGAACGGGAGATTCGCATCATGGATGTGCAGCCAACAAATCTGCGGCAACTGTGTGATGCCATCATGTCAATATGGACCAAAATCTCTGAGGAATGCTTCCAGCACCTTGTTGAATCTATGCCACAAAGAATTGAGGCAGTTCTGAAGGCAAAAGGGGGTCCAACCCGTTACTAGCGTGGTGTACCTAATAAAGTGGCCGGTGAGTGTAGCTCTCATGCTACATACAGTATATGTTTGGTCACCCCTCCCCCTTCCCACATCCCCCTTGTCACACACAGCTTGATTGTGAAAAGTCTTCCAGTCTTGCTAAGGTCTTCATGAGTATTTTCAAAATGTTGCAATAGTTTCATCATGAAAGGATTCAGATGAGGATGTTTGGGTCTTGGGTGGTGTGTGATGTCTGTTTATCTAAGATGTGGACCTGCCAGGATTGGCCACACTGTCCTCATCTTTAGGCTACGACCCAATTACATCCAAACAGAGCAAGTGGCACTCCAAGTATGTTATTGTAACGCTCCTGTAGGTGCAATTACACACTGCTTTCATTCTTCACCTTAGCCACAACTATCATCCAGTATCAACAGCCAATCCACACATTAGCTTAGTCCACATCTTAGCTGTCCCTATTACCTTTTGGACACAAAGAAGGAGCACTTGTTCTCTACATGGTCAGGCCTGCTGGATGAGGAAGGAAGAAGTATGGATGAGGTTGAAAGTGAGCAAGGAAAACCTCTTCACTTGAATCCTTTTGATATGATAATGGAAATAATCTTACATTAACCTTTATTTAAACAGGCAAATCCCATATTTGCAAGGGAGGCCTGGGCCTGAAGGCAACCTAATGTGCATGTTTTTGGACTGTGGGAGAAAACCAGGGTATCCAGAGAAAACTTATGCAAGAAAGTGGAGAAAACACAAACTTCTCCCAGAAAGACCCCGGGTCAAACTGAGAGTCGAACCCAGGACCTTCTGCCATACCTGCAGAGATCATATTGAACAAGCTTAGGTTGATGTAATGCCACATTGTGCATTGCTGCATTCTGATGCAGTGTTGTCACTACCGTCACACTATTTGCTGCCATGTGTCATTTGGTCATGTAAGAGAGCATACAGGTGGTTAGTGTTGGGGGTTAGGTTTAGGTCAACAAGTATAAAAGAAGTCTTAGCTTTTCGTTTAATTTTTGAAACAAAATATGCAATAAGTTCACAAATTTTTCATGTTGAAAAGTTAAAACTATAATTTTCACCTGAAACATGGATGTGTTATAAAGCCTTATGGTGGGAACATTGGAATATGTTGCAGTTTACTTATGCTAGTTTAATTAAGATAGATAGATAGATAGATAGATAGATAGATAGATAGATAGATAGATAGATAGATAGATAGATAGATAGATAGATAGAT